ACTCGAAGAGGTAATTTTACAACAATGTCACATTGGCCACAGGCGGTTTACTCATGACTATCTGCTGAAAATGGATGGGGATGGACCTCCCATGTGTGTCTCTTGCGATGAAGTGTTCAGCATAAAAAATATTCTGCTTGACTGTGTGGACTTTTCGACTGCAAGAGATTCACATTATGATGCGAGAAATCTGAAAGATCTGTTTTCCCGCGTGAACGAGCATCTCATTGTTAACTACCTGAGGGAAGTTGACCTGTATCACCAATTGTAACTATGTAAGGTGAATAACGAATTGCTTGATTTTGAAATTAGTGCTATGATTTTTTTCGCTTTATAAACAATAATGTACTGAATATATATGTTTTAAAATTAACTCATTTGGACTTTGGACTTAAAATGATTATGAATGCAAACTTGACCTCATCACTATATGGCTGAAATAATGCTGATGTGACGCAAAGCCCAACTCAATCTCATTGTCATCCTTCCTTCGATTTCAGAGGTAAGGCCCGAAGTGATGCAGGACTCATATATTTGCCACTTTGGTGACACTCCAGAGCTACAGATAACTTTTTGGGTCATTGAGTTATGTACTCGCTTGTGTTCATCTCAATTGGGTATCCTAATTTTCCTTGAGTAACCAAATAAATTGTACCCACCTCACTCAACTTCAAATGGGTATTTTGCCATTTTCCATTAATTGTAAAAATATAATAAGGTTTAAATGTTATTTATATTGGATCTTTAATATGAGAAACGATAAGAAAGACTGCAACTTGCCAAGTTCATGTGTTGAAATAGAACCTCTGAATATACCTCAGTTATTTTATCTATGCACCAGTACGCAAGCTATGATTCGACATTTTTTGTGTGTACGCATGTAAGATCAAATTTATGGAGTATTTACAAAAAGTCAAGGGTACTTGTATGCAATAGACTTAATAAGAATTGAGTTTTCACATAAATATTTGAGTAATTTACGCAGATACGCAGCTTATCTGTACGTCTTAACTCACAAGTAGGGTATTGTGCTGACAAACGTAGCAGCAATCATAATGAACTGACTTAAAAACCCATTACCATATATTTGTTCCATGCCTCGGGGATGCAACTCTGTACAGCAAATTGCAGTGCATCAGACCACTGGGCCATCCCTTAAGGATAGAAAACCCTGTAGAGCTGAACAATAGCAACAATGGAAGCCTAGTTTAGTGATTAATCAAAGTTTGAAATGATCATTCATCAGCTACCTTAATTATGATCAATTATCAGAGACGTTTGATACAACTACACAGCATCAGCGGAATCGGACAGTTTATCCATCAACCCTATCGTACGGCAGCATGAGGTGAGGTGAGGTGAGGTGAGGTGAGGTGAAATTGGGTTTTACGTCGTGCTTGAGAATATTTCACTCATATGACGACGTGCATGCGTGTGTATGTGTATGTGCGGTTGCTTGTACTAGCCCAGACTTAAACTGGTTTTATAGTGCTTGCCCACTGAGATACCATGCTGCAGTGAAGCATGAATACCCCACTCAGACACATTATACTGACTCCGAGCCGACCAGTCCTTGTTGTACCCATTAATGCCGAGCGCCAGGCAGGGACCAACAAGTACCATATTTAAACATCTATTGGTATGACGCGGTCAGGCATCAAACCCACGACCTTCCGCTCTCTGGGCGGACGCTCTAACCACTACACCAGGGAGGCGGTCACGCCAGCATGACACTCCATAAGACCTACTTAGCTTGTCACTACAAACCATTTCTAGGAGTATAGCTATATGAGACCATTACTCATAAATGTGATTCAAAAACACAGAAGTATGCCCATGACATCATACATAAATAACAGTGCTATCGCAGCCGATGTCTCTGAAGGGCATTGTAGAAGCTGTATCATTACAGGAGATGGTCCACTATCATCTCTGTCAAAATGTCACATTGAAAGTAAAAAGAACTTAAAGTGTCAACTCTGTCTACATAAAGATCTTGAACATAATGATTCCAGAACTACAGAATATCAAGGTTAGGCATTCCAGACAGATGTCCAATCAAATAATCTCTTGATATATATTCCTTGTGCTCTTATACACCAGAAACTAGACTAACAACTAGTCTCTGAAATGAACATATTCTATAGAAAAAAAAGTTCATAGTATAAAAATAAAACATAATGAAAAGGAGCCCTGAGACTTTCTTCATTTTCAGAGCTGTGGAAATCTAGACTTGCCACATTTTCTAGACTGGCGCTTTCTTGGTTATATTTGCTTCAGGTTTTGTATGACAGACTAACCAGAAACCAAAATCCTAATATGACGCATATGTACATAGTACACTTCTTAAGAAATGAAGAATAGTGAGTATAAATCTGATTTCATGTATAAAATCTTGGCACACAGACCTAGCCTGCTTAAAGTAAAGTAGAGAAAACTGGTCCAGCTTACCTGCTTGAATTAAGGATAAGGAAAAAGTCCAAGCTTGCCTGCTTGAAGTTAGGAATAAGAAACAAGCCTTGGTTACCTGCTTGAAGTAAGGAATAAGAAAGTCCTAGGTTATTTGCTTGAAGTTAAGAATAAGAAACAAGCCTTGGTTACCCGCTTGAAGTAAGGAATAAGAAAGTCCTAGGTTACTTGCTTGAAGTTAGGAATAAGAAACAAGCCTTGGTTACCTGCTTGAAGTAAGGTAAAGGAAACAGTCCCAGTTTACCTGTTTGAATTAAAACATCCCAAACAATTCTAGTACACTGGCTTGAATCAAGACTGTAATTTAAATATTTAAATGAAATATTTCCCTTTGATATAACATCTTTAGTTCCACATGCCTCGTCATACGTAAAACCTCTACAAGAAACATTTGGAAAATTAATCTAAACAGCAAAAATATACAAAGAAACATTTCACCTTTTCTGAGCTGGCGTTGATTAGGAATATCATGAAAGGGGCCATAATACCCACATGTACACCTGTAATGTGGAAATCTCACAATGAACCTTGCCAACATAGGTAATTCTATACCAAATAACTTATGTGCAGAATTAATATCCCTCATATTACCATTCATCTTGCATTTACTTTCCTCATTCACAGGCACTCCCGCTCTCTGATGTAACATGGTAAAATCTTTAATATCTTCTTCTGCATCAAGATAGACTAATCGCAGCCATTTCCCTACCCAAATGTCTAGACTGTTTTTACAATCAAGATTGTGTTTCATATAACATACAGAAAGGTCATCTTGTATTTCAGAGATTGCATATTAGGAGGATCATTGGTGCAGAAATACAAGAGGAAACAGAAAATGCTATTTGTCAGGAATGCCTTCTTAGGTTGCGATGTTCCACAGAATATGTGAAGCTTGGTATGCACAGAAAATGGGCTTATTTGATCACACAGCATGATCTGGGTTGAGTCACCCGTTCAGCACATTCTGAGGCCATCATTGATTCATGACTGTGGCTGGACAACATTATTGCTGACTGCTGTTTGTTTAACACTAAACTCAATATTCCAGCTAAAGTGAGTGAGTGAGTTTAGTTTTACGCCGCACTTAGCAATGCACAGAAAATGGGCTTCCAGCTATATGGCGGCGGTCTGTAAATAATAGGGTCTGGACCAGACAATCCAGTGATCAACAGCATGAGCATCAATCTGCGCAATTGGGAATTGATGACATGAGTCAACCAAGTCAGCAAGCCTGATCACCCGATCCTGATAGTCAACTCTTACAACAAGCATGGGTTACTGAACATCAATTCTAACCCGGATGTTCACGGGTGTATATATTTTATAATAACCAGCAACAGTCAGGACTGTCATATATTGCAGGGTATAAGGCAAGTTTTTACTGGAGTATAAGTTTCAAAATAGTTGATTGTGGACCTGACATACCAATGATTGAAATCATGAACATCAAATTATGCATTTATGATACAATAAGATTGACAATCCAATCCTTTGACGCCTCTTACAAAGATCAAGGATTGCTGAAGACCAACTCAAAGTCTGATCTTTACAAAGATCAAGATGGTTCATTGTATGTTCAGTTCGAATCCATTATACTAGTATTACAATGACTGGCAAAGTATGGACAATGCAAATAGTGAAAATCACTATCACTGTGTAATAAGAAATGTCAAACTCTTTCTAATGCTATTGAATATGTTAGAAACAAGGCTAGTTTAACATGGATGGTTTCGTCCTCTGATGATAAATGTCTGACAAGTGTTTCCCTGTTGAGATTGTACAAACATTTCTTTGGAATTTACTCTTTCCCTTAAATGATATATGCATCATATATGAATAACAGATGATTTTTGTCTTCGATATCCAACATAAAAATACAGCAAAATCTTCAGTGTTTATAGCCAATGACAGTTTACTCCAAATATTAATCTTTACATTTGTCAAACCAAGTCTAAATCTTATGACTGTATTTTTCAGAATGTTTGCCAAATATTTCCCAAGCTCAATATTTGTTTGAAGGGATCAATATACATAAAGGTTATTGCTGTGTAAAAAACTATACATACTTGTTCACTCGTTTCAACAGACAGGACGAAATGGTATCATATTTTATTTTAGGAAAAAATCTCAGGATCATCTACTTTGAATTAGGTTCGAAAAACATTGAAACACACTAGCAAAACCCTGTAATGATAATACTGACATTCTGAAATCTCATTAAGATACAAAATAGCATTGTAAAGTAGCTATATCATAAGACAAGAATATTATCATCGTTTATAGCTGGTCCGATAAAAGCACTAACTGATGGTAAAAGAAATCAATACAAAGTAACTGCAATTTAATATTGTTGGAATGGGAATTTTCTGTAGAAAATAAAACATAGAATCTCAAATCGGTGATGCATCAAACTACAGCAGACCTCACATTGACTTTACTTAACCTGATTAAACCCAGGTCCGTTGTTCATAGAGAGATAGTCAAGCAAACGTCAGAGCATAGTAAAGCAACATGGAATCGGATAGTATTACCTCATCAGCTACTGAGTCACCCTCTGCTATGTCAAGGGTCATCGTTCCTCGGACAAAACGCCATCGTCTTGAAGCACAATTTCTTGAAAAGCAAACGCATGACGTAAATGGCACCATGATTCTCTTGTCAGTGCAAAGCTTGCCTGAATTTTCTTTGAGATAAAAGACAGGCTGTCAAAATGATCATTGCAGGGTTTTTTCAAACTCTGACGCAATCACAGCAATAGTTTGTCTAAAACTTCAACAATAAAAAGAACAGTTATTATTTCCTAGTATTTCCCGAAGGTGTCTCATCTTCAGAGTTGATATCACAAAAACAGTCAATTGATTCTTCTTTTGGGTGAACATGTGAAAGCACAGTGCAATTATTCAGCCAATTGCTACAAAATCATATCAACTTTCCATCTGAGAAAAGGCCAGGTCAAGATTATCAATATTCAGAAAACAGCCAGCAGTGATGTTCACAGGAATGCTTCCACATTAAAAATCTTTTGACAGTCTTTGAAGATGCTCTTGTCAGTCCGATATCAAAGTTTGTCGATAATGTGGTGACTACACAAACAGGTTTTCCGTGAAACAATTCCCTTTTTTTCAGAAAAATCAGTCTTGAGTACAGCATGCCATCAACCCTCTAGGAGTTCACAGATATTTCCAATGAATATTCATGAAGGAGACATTAAATTGTAAAGTTCCACAATACTCCATTCCCTCTGTTTTTCAGTTGATGACACTGTATAATGCCACAATGTCCTCCGGCAATGTTCAAGTCGCCACGGTAACTGTCTTCAATTACCATTTGATTGCTACAATAACTGCACCACAGCAATTACACCAGGAAGAGGCTGTATTTTACAGGAAAATTACTTTTCCCAAAAACTCATTCCCGCCATTGGAAGCATGTGCACTCAAGTATCAGAGAGGACAAAAGGAGATGGTAAGAAGAACACAGAAAGACAGGAAGAGTCCGTCTGCTTCAAACAAAGCTGTCAGTATTCTTCTGTGAGCATGAGCAGGGTTGTAAGGCTTTAAATCCGAAACTATTCGTCACTAGCCTGCTCCATACCACTGCAATAGCAAACCACTGACTGAAGCAGATGCGAAATTCAAGACATCTTCTATAATGACAGCTTAGAGGCTTCTAATTGCTTCACTTGTCACAGAGAAAAGCCGCAGTCATCTCTGAGACTTGTGTCACATGGATTGTGAGAGTCTGCTTCCTCACACACTGCACGCTTCTCACACCAAGGCCCTCTTCCCCTCTGCCGTGCTGCCTCACCAGACGTACTCTGCAATCCAAGTCATCCCATTCAGCTAATCCAGCATGCAAATTGACCCTCGTTAATCTTGACTGAGCATTATCAATTGAGGAACATTGGGGAGATTCTACACGCTGCACAGCATCAACTGCTGCTGCTGCTGCTGTCAACCGTTGTCTGCTCACTCTAAACCTCCTCTCTATGCCACTCCTGCCATGAATGTTTGCGGACCAGGTCAACAGTTTCACTACAGCCCCACCGATGACGGTGCCAACAGCTTTGTGTGGACATCACACCTCTCCAATGATTATGCAGCCCATACAGACTCCATAATGAATTTTAGCACAATGCATTCAGGACAACCTGGTGGTATTTCCATTAGCAATATTACTGTGACCAAGCCCATGGAGGCCAGAAAAAAATTGCTATTGTTTACAATCAATGCTTCATCTATGAGGCGTAAGTACTACTGTAAACACTGTGGGAAGATAATACGGTGTTGCCGTGTAATGACACTTCAGCGCAAGCAGCAGACAGGGTGTGTGAGAGGAATCAGGCATTAATGGTAAAAGTAGGCATAGTGTATGATTTCATCACGGTGCTGGAGTCAATAACAAGCCATGACATGGCCAAATGGGTCAATATTTGAAATGGATTTGCTTGTCAAATAAAAACAAAGCTCCCCGACACAAGACAAAACAGAGCCCACTGCAAGACTGTGATGAATGAGAAGCAGTTTACACTTAGCTTCAAGTCAGGTCAACAACATTCGATGCAATCAGACCAAGCTCATCGTGAACATCATACAAATGTCAACACACTCCATCAATACCGACTCGACTTTCTCCATCACATCTAGGATATCAAGACACGTCAATATAATACAGTATATTCCATATAATTACTTTTACTATTTATGTCACTGTTAGCAATATTCCAGCAATATGAAAACTTGGGTTGCTTTATCTTGTACGTAACTGAACGGAGGCATTTGGCATAACAAGAGAACACTTAACCACAGGGCTACTCACTAGTCTGTGTCAACACGAGACTTGACCCTCGTACACGTACGTGTCACATTCTACTCAACATAACAGTCAAACCAAATAACAGAACAAACATGGACCTCTGAAACACTGAAATATATGTCTCAGTGAAAAAAAAAAAATCGCTCATAAAACTTAATTGCTTATGTCTTCATCAAATGTTTAGTGCTTTCATACAGTGAGTGAGTGAGTTTATTTTTATGCCACTCAGCAATATTCCAGTTATATGGTGGCGCTCTGTAAATAATCGTGTCTGGACCAGACAATCCAGTGTTCAACAGCATGAGCATCGATCTACACGACTGGGATACAATGACATGTGTCAACCAAGTCAGTGAGCCTGACCACCCGATCCCGTTAGTCATCTCTTACGACGAGCATGGGTTACTGAAGATAATTCTAACCCGGATCTTCATGGGTCACTTTGACACAGCAACCAAATGTAATATAGATTTAATTAATGTCATTTAGTGATTTTCAAGAGGGTCATTTTTCATTCCCTTTTCTTCAAACGATTGTGAAAAGTCTAACTTAGATGAAAGGGACATTTATTTTATCATGTTCTTTGATGTGTGCTTACAAAAAGAACAGACATGATTTTATTATTTATCAATTGATGACAAATTCTTCCTCATAAATTCCCACCCTGGAGCTGAAAATACTACAAATATTACACCTGCTTACTTGTTTCTGAGCACAGGGTAATGATCCCCTGCAGTTATTATTAAGTATTTAGCTCTGACAAGAGGCTGCATTCACTTGATTTCACTGAGAAGAGAGATCGGGTGTTATCCATCATTGTGCATCAGTGTACTGTAGATATCTGCACTGTACCTGCACTTGTGAGCTCATATGGGGCGGGGCTTAGCCTAGTGGTTAAAGCATTTGCTCGTCATGCTGAAGATTCCCCACATGGGTACAATGCCCATTTCTGGTGTCCCCCCGCCTTGATATTGCTGGAATATTGATAAAGTAGTGTAAAACTAAACTCACTCATGAGCCCATAAATCAACATAATTAGAACAGAAACAGTTGAGCCAATACTTTTCTTCAGATACCAATTAACTATATTTAGTTTATTCCTCTTCATGTGATCCTAACATACGCACAGAAACACCTAATATGTGCACCAAACATCATAATAGCACCATCAGTAATACCATATTCACTGTAATAAACGTTTGACCATTTAGAAAGTCGACAGAGTGTCGGGTTTATAGACTTAACGGTTAGTCCCCGAATATATATAATTTTGATAGTAACCAATAAACCCATTTAAATTGAAAAGGAGCCCCAGTGAGTTTGGAGATTCCTGAACATGGGGAAATCTAGACTTGCTTCATTTAGAGCTTTAGCACTGCAGGGGAGGGCTAGGCATTAGGGAAAATACAATGTGGTTCAAGGACTGTGAGATAGACTATTGGGATTATGAAAGCTATACACAAGTTAAGCATGCTGTAAGACATCTGGCAGTTACGTATCCATATACAATGCTAAATTTACTGTCTTCTGCAATATGCACAAGAAATACATCATGTCATGTAAAATTTTGAGCTTTGAGCGAGTGAGTTGGGTTTTACGCTGCTTTTAGCAATATTCCAGCAATATCGCAGCAGGGTTGAGCTTTGAAGATTAAATACAGATCTGTTGAGATGTTAGTCAGTGGGGACTTGACAGAGAATAAAAATAACGACAGTCGTAGTAGCAGCAGCAGAGATGATGATGATGATGATGATGATGATGATATTAATTTGATCAATACTGCACTCACTACATAAACAGGTTCACTTTTTTCAACAAAAAGAATGCTTTGAGTACAGGACCCCGTCAACCCTGGATGAGTTTTGCCGATACTTCCAGTGAATATTCAATCCTGGCTGGCCAAGAGATGCACCTGACAGCACCTCCTCCATTGTGCCACCTGTGTACCATATTAACCTTGTCATAAGCTATTCCACACAACCTATCCGACTGCAGAGATAGTACCTGATTACCTGAGCAGCACACAACAAATTGGATGTGATGCTAATGCACTTTTCCACTGTAATACTAGATATTCAATGGTGCTTGGGCTAATTGCATTACCCCAGAAACACCTGCCCCATTAACAGATCATGGTCATTGGGGAATGATGTATATTCATGCTGACTGCCATTTACCCATTGAACTCACAATACCAGATTTGTTATTGTCTGGAAGCAATGACCAAGAAATATTCTCTTTAAAAGTCCCTCTACCTTGAATACCAAATGCACATCAGAGATTAGACAAACGCTTAATCCCCGAATATATATATGATTTGGGCAGTAACAAATAAACCCATTTAAACTGAAAAGGAGCCCCAGTGAGTTCTGAACCTGGGGAAATTTAGACTTGCTTCATGTAGACCTTTAGCATTGAAGGGAAGGATAGGGGAAATAATGTGGTTCAGGGACTGTGAGACAGGCTAATCAGGGATTTATCTAGACCGGTTCAGAGGTCAATATTTGGTCCCAAGTCTGCAGGGAATTAAAACATTTCCAATTTATGTTAATACATACAAAAATAATAAGTAGTTTCATGGTTTGTAGAGGTTACCTGTATTTCACATACTGCAAGACCAATAAAGAAGAGGTTTTTGTGCTCAGTTATATATTATAAACTTTAATGCTAGGTTAAAATACCTCTAAATTTCAGAAAATCCAACCAGTAAAAAAATCCCAATTTGGAACAAAATATTTTTCTCTCAATTTCCCCACAAGGGCCTCTTAGTTAAGAATCCTGGGTAAAACCGTGAACCGCCCCAAGTACACAGTGCTGTGTTCCGCTGAAATAATTCTTGCATCCAACACTTCTTTAACAGGCAAACCAAGTTCTATGGATAGTCAACTTCTTTATTGCAATGAGTGCGACGTTTCGGTGTAGGTACTAACACCGTTATCAAACGAACTTGCTTTTCCTTCATCTATACAACTTCAAAATGCCACTCAAAGAGGACTCCTTTACAGTCCATTGTAAAAAGGAAAAATTTAAATGTGTCACAATGTCTACCAGGTACCTTCATACAATTTATGAAATTAGGTGGAAGGTTCTCTCACTCCCTATACTGACAGCTATGTAATCTGTAAAGCATGACCTAACTCTGTTGTGCATTAAACATGGCTTGAAATAGTTATTATAAATTTACAAAACCATGAAAATACATGTGATCTATTTACATTAACTTCAGGTTCGGCAGATAGTACAAATATTTCTATATGGTCCGTGCATGGTCCATTTCATGCTGAACTGAATATGAAAGGTAGAAAGGATTAGTTTAAGTGCTGTTATAATTGGGCTGTGTAGACTACAACGAAAAGCTCTTTTGTCAAAACATCCTGAATAGAAATGTTTTTGCACATCTTTAAAAAATAAGGTAATATTTACTGTTAAAGTATGCTAAAGTGTTATGTAGACCATCACCGTTAGCTTAATTAAGATGTGATATTTTACCTTTGTATATCTGTACAGACACGTCAAACCCTCAATACCACTCGCGGAGAAGCATCGTAAGTATTGCATTTTAACCAATAATTTACACGTTAACAAGCTAGATGATGAAAAACATTTCTCAACCAAATATATCTTTTATAATGATATGCTTTTCAATTTTTTAAAAGAATTTTTGTACAATATTCTTTATTTTATAATTCTGATTATGAAAGTAGGTTTGGGCTTCTCATGGATGATATTAAAACTTTAAAATAAATTTTGAAGATTGTTTAACAGACAGCACACAATATCATACCATATTTCATGTTAAATCTGGTGTAAGTTACTATTAATGCACATCCTCACATGTACAAATATTATTGTCTCAGTTGTCAGTTAATGACTGGATGTACTGTACATCTCAAATGTCTTCTTACTTTAACTGTAATAGTTCAGAGCAAGGGTGTACTTTGTTACCTTATACATGGGGGTAGAGCAAACTGAATTTCTTAATCATATGTACATATAATGAACATTAAACATTTACCAATGTGTGGGGGATACTTCAAAATGCTATCTTCTACACTACTACTACTACTACTACTACTACTACTACTACTATACCCACAACAATGACTACTCCACTACTACTACGACGATGATGATGACAACGATGGCTACTATTACTCTATTATGACTCCGACTACTACTACTTTATCCACTATGACGAC